GCTTCAAGGCGCTGCGTTACATCCCTTCCCAAGGATGTAACGCAGCGCCAAATTTTTTTACCAAAAAAATTCCTGTAAGTACCACTTGATAGTGTTGTTTTTGTAGATTACAGTGCGCTAGAAAGCAGCCGCAGACTTCTCTCCAAAAGGGGTAGAAGCGTTGGTGAATTGCGAAAAAATCACGCGTTTTCAAATTCTGTCCATCGCAACTTTCTTTGAAGTGAATATTTTCTGAGTCCGAAAAGAGCTTTGTGCTCAGCTAATCGAGGCGAATCTTTGATTATACGAAATGTTCTTGCTATTTCGATTTCAGTATTCTTGAAGCTTTTGGGGCGTCTCTTCGCAAAGGCGTAAGGCAGCGCGTACTGCCCCCAATTTCCGAAAAAAAAATCCCTCGATAGTACTTTTTTTTGTAAATTATGAGGCCCCAAGAATTAACCGCACACTTCTTTGCAAAGGAAATAGAAGGGCTGGTGAATTTTGGAAAAATTATTTTCTGAATTTTTCTCACCGTAACTCTAAAATGTGGAGTTCTCTTGCCAAGCAATGTGATTTTGTAACCGATCTTTAGGAGATGCTCGGGTGATTTCATTTTCTCGTTTTACGTTCTGAAGCTCGCCGATGGATTTTCGTTAAAATGTTGATGATGTTGAATTGTGAGGAGACTTCGCTTAAAGAGGTTTGAGGCGGAGAGGCGGACACGCTTTGTGAAAAAACCTGGTCTTTGAGGAATGTAGGGTCTTTCTGCAAAGATATGGTGAGGTAGCGTAACTGAGTCAAGAAAGTGCGCAACTTTGCCCGCAGATATGTCCTCATGAACTTCGCCCAAAATCTAAAGATCGCATACTTTGTCGAAATTTCCACCATGAGTGTTTGCATGACATTCTAATTGCAAATATCCTGTTCACTTTGCCCAAGGAATCCCACTGTATTGAATGTAATGGTTGGGTGTGCTTTAGCTGCTTAATCTTATATATAAAGCTGAATGTCTGTTTGTCTGTCTGTCTGTATGTCTGTCTGTATGTCTGTCTGTCTGTATGTATGTACGTATGTTCCGAATACAAATTTTTATTTCTGAACCGATCGGGACCAAACTTGGCACACATATACTTCAGGGCAGGGAGCGTGTCATAGGCTACTTTTCGTTATCGATCGATATCGATTTTATTGATTTTTTGCAAAATTCGAGCTAGAGGGCTGGGATTTGGCAGAGGGGGGTAATCGAGCATGCTGATCACCCCTTCGGGGTGATCAGCATGCTCGATTACCCCCCTGTGCAAAATCCTAGCCCCCTAGCTCAAATTTTGCAAAAAATCGGTAAAATCGACATCGATCGATAACGAAAAGTGGGCTGTGACACGCTCCCTGCCCCGAAGTGTATGTGTGCAAAGTTCGGTCCCAATCGGTTCAGAGATAAAAATTTCTATTCGGAACATACGTACACGGGTCTAGCTGGCAGGCCCGGCGGAGCCGGGCAAGCCAGCTAGTTGAACATATGGAAACGAGATATAGAGGACTGAATATGTCAAAACATTTGCCTTGACGAGCTGAACACAATGCTGCTTTCGGATTCAAAATATATTCATTGCAAAGGAAGTTATGGCGCTGCGTAACTTGCGATATTCCGGGAATTTTGCGAACTTTGTGAAATTTCGCAAAATTCCCGGAATGTCGCGGAATTCCGGGAATGTCGCGGATTTTTGCGAAGTACCCGGAAATCCGCGACATTCACAGGAATTTTGCACACTCTATGGGTGGTATTGTACTAGGGAAGGATCCAGAATCGCAGAGGCGATCTGACGAAAGCACATACCGGATGCGTCTTGTCGAGCTGAATCCAAATTTAACTTCGTTATCTGCTGCGGACTTCTCCCGAAGAAGTTATGTACGAGTTCAAGTGTCCAAATAGGGCAAACATCTAGTGGCACCTTTCCAAGAATCAGCGGTTCAAAGGCAGTGTCCGGGCAGAAACTCGATTTTGAGATTTTGTGCTTATACGGGCCTATTCGCCATGCTGATTTCAAAAATCTACACTGGAAGGGAGGAAACGGCAAAAAAGGGTTCTAGTGCAGGAGGGAAACAGCAAGTGGCAGGGACTTCCCCACTGTGAACTCACGCTCCCAGCTTCCGGGGCGCTCTTCTTGATTTCAGTAGCCGTCCTAACATTGCTACCGACCAAGTGCGAATGATTGACGAAACCGTAAGCGAGAAGATCGCTAGGAAGGCGGAAGCGAATTACAGTGGAGAGGACCCCGCCCACCTACTGATTTCTTTCCTGTGTTAGAGCCGTTTTTCGCCGTTTTCACGCTCTACAATGTGCATTTTCGGATTCAGGTAGCAAATAGGCCCGAGTAAGCACAAAATGTCAAAATCGAGTTTTTGCCCGGGCACTGTCTAAAGGCAGCACTTGATTTATTTCTGGTTATTGTGCTTTTAATCACCCTCAACACCTTCCCAATTATCCACCTTCAAGCTGATTTTCACACATCATGCATTAAGATCCTAGTAACTTTACATTCCTGGTCGCTCATAACTTCTTCCAGAGAATTGCGCAACAGATAAGACTCGTAATTAGCCTATCAAGACGCATCCAACTAGAGGGCTTATCAAACGCAGTATCGCTTGCAACAGCATCTCACTCCCGCGCTGGACTCTGCGTCTCTTCCGCGAACATGCTCTCTGATCCTTTCCCGGTGCGAGCGTGGGAAAGGCGGAGCCTCAGTCGATTGGAACTGATTAGAATGCATGGTCGCAGAATAGATGCAGAGTCCAGCGCGGGAGTCGAGATGCTGATGCAAGCGACACTGCGTTTGAGAAGCCCTGTATTAAGCTGCTGCATAAGTTCTGTTCGATTTTTTTGCCTTATAATTGAAGCAGCTGCGCTAAGAGAATTGCATCTTTAATGCGATATTATTGATATCATTGGGAAGTGCTTTTCTTGCTATTTCTAACCATATCAAACTTCAGTAAATTTCTTAGTGTAAGGAGATATCAGATCTGAAACTCCTAGTAGCCGAGGTACGTTCTCACTCTAGATATGTATCTCCACAATGCGCCCTTCAAGTCAATTTCTTTCATTGGTTGCGGAATAAGGGTGTAGAAGGCTAATATATGCGGAAGCTCCGTTTCATGAAGAAAACTGCTTGCTAATAAAATTTGTTGTCGAACATTGATTTTTTGTATAAATGTTTTACAGGCAATAACTTCCTGCAAATAAAAGTAATCGATGAGTTCAAAGTGGAGGTGCTAGGGTAAAACAAGAGCTAGCAGGGTCCATCCATCAATTCCTTTTCGGCGATCATGTCAGTTGTAAGATTTTCATATTTCGTAAATAGTCATGCACGTGCTGAAACGAAATCAAAAAGTGGCTTCTTTTTTGCTCGGTCAAAAAAATTTCTCGACAACGCAGACTCTATGGGCTCTTTTATGTTGCAGAATAATTTACGAAAATTTCTTTATCTATGCATTGTTAGATAAGATGCCTATCAGTTCTCATAAGGGAGCATTGTCATAACAAAAAAGACAGGTCTGAAGAAAAACGCTGGGAAGTTTCTAAGTTCTTGCTTCTTCCTTAACGAAAATTCTCGCAAATCTCAATATGCGCCTGATTGCCAAGGAACTGCTCCTCACAAAGAAACTAAAATCTTGGAAAAAAGTTGACTTTGAAAGAAGTTATGACATTTTGAACTCAAAAAATTTAAATCGGACAGAACTTATGCAGCAGCCTAATATAATATATGCATTTTATTCCAAATCTTTCCTGCTATTTGGAATCCTTCCCCTGTCAGAACTACCCAGCTTAGGGGGTCAAGTCCATTAAAATCTCTTAACATATGTCTTGCTTAATAGGGATGGATTCTTAATCGAAGGCCTGTTCAGAAGAGAGGAACAACTTCTTGAATGACATCGAACGCTGATTCCAAATCTATATCCCTCATCTGCGGAGTGACTCTGAACAAGGAGTTATGAGAGATTTTGTAGCGAGATTTGATTGCGTAGTTAGAAGAAAATCAATTGTAGAGGACTCTTGTAACTCTTGAATGGAACACTGTTAAACCTTTCTAGGAAGAGAAAAAATCGATAAAGTCGATATCGATCGATGACGAAAAGTAGCCTATGACACCCGCCGGGGCCCGAAGTGTATGTGTGCTAAGTTTGGTCCCGATCGGTTCAGAAATGGAATTTTCTATTCGGAACATACGTACACACATACACTGTCACTTGCAGACACATACAGTCACATACAGACATACAGACAGACAGACAGACAAACAAACAGACATTCAGCTTTATATATAAGATGTGGCTCCGGCATACAAGTTTCCAGTTTTCCTGTCCCTCGCTTCAGAATCCACGATCTCTTCTTACTTGTTGCCGAGCTGCATTCACAAGCTTCAAGTGCAGAATGGTTTCAAGCTGATTCTTGGTTGGTTCATCCGTCCCATAATGCGTCTCTGTCTCATTAATGGTCTTTCTTGAGGACATCTTTCGGAAGGAATCCAGCAGTGGCGTACCCAGGATTTCGGCTCAGGGGGAGGGGGCGACAAAAATAAGATGCGTGGCGTCAGCACTCCGAAAAGATTTTAGGGTTTACAAGGCTAATTTGAATTTTTTAAAATTTTTAAAAATTATTTTAATTATTTACAAGTATAAATAAGTCACTTGCACATATTTGTAACCCACATAAGTAACTTTCAAAAATTTCGCGACTCATTCTCGGGGGGGGGGGAGGCGCCCCCACCCCCCCCCCCCGGCCCTCCCCCCTCGGTACGCCACTGGAATCCAGATATTTTTAGTGCCTGTACACCGTAACGTTTACCGCTGGGCCGCAAAGGGGGGCATCCTTCTCATATCCGTACTGCGAAGTCCGACAAGATGTTGCTTGTGTCATGCATCTTCAGAAGATAACGATCAAGCGCTCTGTGAGCGAATCCAATCCTGAGTTGCCTGACAGGACTGCTTAATTTAAACGCTGTCAAAAGCTTTCTCGTAATCGACGAATGTTAAGACGAAAGGTAAGCACTACGCCCAGCAAAAGTTTATGTCCTTGATATGCGAGTGAGGATGATCTTGGTGAAACGCTTGTACAGCACACTCAACAGGCATAACGGTAGTTTCTATGATCCCGTTCGCCCTTTTTGAAAGGAAAGACATCAAGGGTCTCCATTGTCGAAAATCATTCCTTATGAAGAAGACGTTGAATTCTAAGCGAGAAAGTGTAAACTATGTCCCTTAGCTCGTCGAAGGTTAGCCAAATAGGCGTGAACAACTTCATAGCTTTTATCGCGGCGCGCAGTAAGTGGATCTGTGTTGTGTTGGTATTATCCAACGGGAATGTTAGCACGGGCTTGATGAGCGAAAGACGTTGATGTGAAGGAACTTAGCGATAGATCCCCTCTTTTGTCGATAAGAAGCGGGGCCGGTCTTCGTTTAGCAGTGCTGCCAGCGGTACTTGATATCCGCAGTACTCTTCGGCACTTCTTGGGTCTTCGCCTCCCTTCGTCTGCTTCCAGTATCTAACTTGTCTGTGTTTTAGTATTTCCTGCAAAGCTGTTCTGCAATTGGCGTTCGTCTCGACAGTGAATGTATCATTTGCGCTGCCCGCTGGGCTAGTTGGGCCTCTTCGTCAGTTCTCACAAGCTCGCATGCCCAGGTTGATTGGACACTGCCACGATGGACTCGCTTTAGAGTGGAAAAAGCTCTCAACAGTCAGGAAGTGGAAGTCGTGGCAAATATGGTTACGGTCCTAAGACAAACGTGTGAACTCCAAACAGCATTGAGCCCATTTCCATTATTGATTTGACTGAGCTCTCTCCACCATTAAATGTTGATGAGAGAGTCGATTTTCAAAAAATTTGCTTAGTGTGTTGCATACTGCAAACAACTCCTACGGAGCAACCCCTTCTCTTGCCGCCGTGAACCGAAGATTGCTGACAAGTAAGTTTACGCATTTTTGCACCAAACGCGATACTGCACACATTGAGCGGGGATCTCCAGCTTTTCCTCGGAGGGCTTTCTCTCCTTGATTCAGCTTCTATACTCAGAGTGCTCTGATGTTGTGCTCGTCCTAGCCTCTGTTATAGATACTCCGCCGACACGACAGGTTGTTCATAGCAACCTGTTTCTCCTCCAAGATTCAGTTCAAACGTCTTCGGCGATACATCCAGAGGGTCCGCTCAAAATTTATGGCGTCGATGTTGAGAGTGAGTAATTTTTTCGTCTTGGTTTGCAAGTGTATTTGAGAATACATTGTGCTTGCTTTAGGGCGCCGAGTACGACACCCCGCTTAGTTTTGAAGAAGAATGGAAAAAGAACGAAAGAGTCGTGTTAGCACTCATCACACAAGATGTAAGCAACTTCAGATGTTCTTCTGCAAGTATGTAATCGTATTTCCATGTTGAAATGTTTTAGAGGGTCACGCAGTTGGAATGGCAAGATTTGTTTCTTGCCGTGTACAAAATTCATTCGTGGGTTGAGGATGGAAAGGAGAAACTTCATAGGGAGATTGACAAGAAAGTAAAGGAGTACGTGAGCAAAGCTAGAGAGGTACTTATCATTGGAACATCTTTTCCATGTTTTGTTCAAGTTTTTGGAAAATGCCTCAGCGTGTTTACATATTTTATCCCTATATCTCTTTCTTTCAAGATCGGATAGTCAACTCTGATTTTCGTTTATATTTATGCATATCATTCCGAAGCGAGTGCAACATTTTGTCAGTTCATCCTGTAAATGGGAATCCTGCGCATTTGTACAACTTTCTTTAACAAGCCTCTGCACTTGATGGGCTTTCGCTAGTTTGCAAAGGAACTTCGTTTTAGTCGTTTACAGCTTTATTGGCAAAATCAAATTTATCCCCAAAATTGTCAAGATAAAGCTGAATGAGCAAAAATCTGAAGTGATTTAGCGTTGTGGCTTATTGACTTGATTCAAAAAAAAACGATGTGATCATACTTCAGCGAATCATTTGCCACATGGAACGCGGCGATCAAGCCTTGCTTAGAGCATACATATACGAATGGACAAAGTATTATCAGCAGACAGCCATTCTTCCTCTCCCATTTACGGTAGATTGCTTCGTGAATTGCAAGCTGAAATGCACTTTTCGTCAGTTCTCCAAATATTATGATCGCGCTTGCTTTTTGTAGGCTATAGATCCGGAGACAATACCAGCTCCCATCCCTCCAGGAAATGAGTCTCGCACACCGAAACAATACCGTACCAAAACCGTTCGAGAGGTTTTTCATTTTGTTACCAGAGGTGTTTTCCTTATAATTTGGCAAGTTTTAGGGAATGCTTGAAACGTGGAAGAAAGACATTTTCCAACAGATTAGTTCAAAGTTATTGTCAGCTGCTCTTCGTCTCGTAGAAACGGAACGAAATGGTGAAACAGTAGATGCTCGCCTAGTTATTGGTGTCAGGGAAAGCTGGGGTAAGTGGTTATTACTTCTATTGTAATAATCATATTACTTCTATTTGAACTCATTTGGTGAAAATCTTAGCAACTGACTCCTTTTCTTTTGCATGCTCCCACATTATAAGATTTTGTTTGTTCTTGCAGTCGCCTTATACGACCAGAGAGACTGCTATTATGAAGATGTGCTTGACCAGTATCGCAAACATTTCGAGAGGGAGTTTGTTGAAGAAACTGTAGCCTATTATAAAAAGAGAGCTGCTCAAGTATGTTCTTTCTTGCTTGTTTCTGATTGTGATAAACTACTGTTTTGTAGTATCTCGCTGAGAATGGAGTGATCAATTATATGTCGTACGCTGATCGAATGTTAGAGGAAGAAGAACAACGAGCAAGAAAATACTTGAATCCAAATCCGGACAGTGTGGCAAGGGTGTGTCTATTCCAGTAGTGTTTGAGAACCGTTAATTTCTATATCGATTGTTGTAGTTGGTGGAGAGCTGTGTTCAAGTCCTTGTTGTCGAATTCGAAGACCAAATTCTTGCCGAATGTCCTTTTTTAATAGCGAAGAATGATGTAGAAAGTGGGTTTTTCTCTACTTTGCTTCATTTGAGCGTGTTACGTTACGTTACGTGGGTTACGTTTCTTTCCATCTTATGGCTTTTTTCTTCTTTTTTTCAACTATTCATTATTTCGATGATCGCCATATCGCTTCAGTTTTTTATTGTTTTCGCAGATAATTTACAAATATAATTATTTTAGAGCTACGGATGTTGTATAGGCTGATCAAGCGTACTCCATCCGGTATAGATGTAGTTCTGAAGGCAGTGGATAATCACATCCGCAGCGAGGGCCTCGATGATATGAAAGAAAACGCAATGACTATCACCACAGTATGCTCATTTTTGCACTACGTTGTAAAGAAAAAACCCGCACTTTTATTTCAGGACCCTGAGAAATATATTGCGCAGTTATTGAATATGTTTGATCGGTTCAGCACACTTGTCAAAGAAGGATTCTATGACGATGCTCGATTGCTGACAGCCAGAGACATCGTAAGTCCAACGATATTGCATTCATTTTATTACTTATCATGTAACCATTCTCTGATGGTCATCTTCAAAATCTGGAGTAGAAATTATAGGTTCTTGTGTCACGCTTTGTTCTTCCTTGGTTGAAATACATTGATTAAATGCTGATACGTCTTGTACGAAGCTTTTTTGGATGCCCACGAACAGTGTTAATGTAAACAAGGCTTCTTTACTTGTGCTCAAATATTTAGGCGTTTCGAGCACTCGTCAATGATACTACGATATTTAGAATGGAATTACCTGTGGGAAAGAGAAGGTGACATTGCAGGTTATTGAACGTCAAATGCATTCCTCTGATTTCAGCAGAAACACCGCTGTGGAATCGAAATGTCCTGAACTTCTTGCAAATTACTGCGATCTCCTTTTGCGAAAGACACAGCTCAGCAAAAAACTTACATCTGAGGAGATAGATGCGAAATTGAATAATCTTGTGAGTCTGTTGTAAACTCATTGAAAATTCCCTCATTTTGTCTCTTTATTCTAGTCATTGTTGTTCAGTTGCATCATTCTTTATATGTAGCTTTTTAGCTTTTGGTGTTAAAATACATAGCGAATAAGGACGTATTTATGCGATTCCACAAAGCTCATCTATCACGACGTCTAATATTAGACATGAGCGCCGATCAAGAAAAGGAAGAAGCTATGGTCAACAAATTAAGGGTGAGTTCTCCGCATTTTGCCTACTCCCCTATCAAGGGTGTGATTCAGGAGTGTGGAATGCCTGCTGAACATGTAAACAAACTTTTTCGTATGCTGCAGGACATCGAAATTAACAAGGATCTGAACTCCAATTTCAAAAAGTCCCTATTTGGAGTCAACAACAACAAAATGTTATCAGGTGCGCTCAGGTATCTGGACTTCACTAATATATTTGTTACATAATTTGTTTCAGATTTAATAAACATAAAAATTCTCAATGGAGGTGCATGGGGACGGGGTGGAGTAGGATCTGAACGCATTCGCGTCTCTTTGCCAAGAGAACTGGAGGAGCTCGTCCCTGAGGTAGGCATCGACTTCTGCAATCATTCAAATCAATTTTATCACTCTGTCTTTTTATTAGGTGGAAGCTTTCTACAAGAAACAACATAATGGCAGGAAGTTGAACTGGATGCATCACTGGAGTAGCGGAACTGTGAGTTACCTTCGCGCTGCAGATCTGTAACATGCATAATTGGATCTAGATTGTATTTGGGACTTCAAGTGGTGGCCGATTTGACCTGGAAGTTACAACGTTTCAAATGGCTGTGCTTTTTTGTTGGAACGATCGTGCGCAAGAAAAGATCTCATTTGAGTCACTGCGGTTAGCGACAGAACTTCCAGATACGGAACTGGCCAGGACACTTTTTGTAAGTAGCCGAATTCATGTTGGGATACCTAGAACGACGCCTGAAAATTTTAGTCATTAGTCGCTTATCCAAAGATGAAGTCGCAAGTTCTATTGTGTGACGCCTCTTATCCTATCAATCCTCGTGACTTCACGGATTCAACATTGTTCTTCATCAATCACGACTTTCATTTCTTCAAAGTATGACCTAATTCTCACAAGTGAACTTTGAATTAGTGTAATTCTCTAGAATGGCAAAGAACAACATAGAGGACGCATCAACTTAATTGGTCGGCTGCAGCTTTCAATGGAGTCTTCGGCATCGAAAGAGCATGAAGACATAGTTGCTCTGAGAGAATTCCGGGTCCAGGAAGCCGCTGTAAAGGTAATCGAAATACTAAAAAATTTGTTTGATTTTGACGACTAGATGGTTGTTTTAACATTTCTATAAACGAGGTTGTTTTGACGATAGGGTTCTTTCAGATTATGAAAATGCGGAAATCAATAACATCAGCTCAGCTGCAGACCGAGTTGGTAGAAATGTTGAAGCCTATGTTTATACCGAACCGAAAACTCATTAAGGAACAAATCGACTGGCTTATCGAGAATCGGTTGGTGCTATATCTCTATTCGTATGTAACTCTATGATATTCATTTTTTCCAGGTTTATTGAACGAAAAGAGGACGATATAAATACATTTGTTTACGTTTCTTGATGGCTGGCACGATATCTCAAACTGATTTCTAAGCCCAGTCTCTGTCTTTACGCTCATACGTGTTGCACCAAATTTATGTTCAATGCCTTTTACTTACACCCTTAACCGAACCATCGTCTAGGTTTCTAATTTTGTACAGGCATTTGCATGTATCATAGAGCCAACCTTTGAATATTGGAAACAACAATGTCATTTTCAGCAGGTGAAACACGCTACTTTGCCTTTGGTTTTGTTGCAGGATCATGCTACTACTTTGGGTATTTTTTAAAACTTTTTCCTTTTATCAAAATCTGTCTAGAAGATTCCTCATCTGTGTTTGACGAGCTAGTCTATTTATCCTACATCGTGATGTTGAAAACTCTCATCAATGAAGTGAATAGCTTTTACATAGTAAATACACTGAAACAAAGAGCAAAATTAATTAGTGGTATGGATTGTATATGATCAATCGGGTCGTTTCTTTGAGGGCGAGTACATTGTACTTCATTGTTTGTTGCAGAGCCGGGAAACTGGACTGACAGGAGAAAAAGTTGCAAGGCTATGCTAGGGGTGAGATCGGCCTGCGACTTCGTATACCTTTTTTGTCAGTGGGTGGTTGGTTGTTGGACCCTAACCTCTATTTTTCATCGGTCGCTGCAGCTGAAATGTTCTTGAAAGAGTATGGAATCATTTTGGTGACCTTAGAATGTTAGAATGCTTGGAAATTGCTTGTAGTTGAGACCTTCGGGACGCTTATAGAAAATGGTTTCAAGTCAAGTTGTGATGGGAGCCTTTATATCGTTTTTTTACCCAAGGCAAGTTTTTTAACTCCCCCGGAACATAGCATGACGATCAATCCCTACCGCATTGTCCGCTAGATAATTGATAGTTCGCCAGCAGCAAACTTGACTCAACTCTTGCCGTCATGCATACGTTAATTCTGTAATTATACCATGACGCACAATAGTCTCTGTGATTCATATCCGTACGGTATTTATTATGCTAATTTGCGCTCGAGGACAAATCCGCGGCATTTTGTCGACGATGATTGTCACATTTGAAAAGGCGTGTTACGTTGCGGATACGTGGAGACCATAGGAATCTTCCAGTTGAGTGGAAATGCCGAGGTCGGGGTCCGGCTGGCTGATGCCCGCTTGCGCTCTTTGCGTACCTGTGAATGAAATTGCCGGCTATCCTTTTTTGCTATTCACCAAATCATGGGTCGTGGGAATAATCAAGTTTCAGCTCGAGTAATGTGTCAATCCGCAATTTTTCCCATAACTGTTCAAAAAGGATGAGAATGCAAGCAGCTTTGGGATGTATTTCTTAGTGTGCGAATAAAATCTATCGGCAGTACTTTCTGCACAACCTAATAAAATAAGTCTCAGAAATGATGAGTATTCAGAATTAGCAGCCGGACCCGTAAGCAGATAGCCGGTGCGGATTAGAGAAGAGAGTTTTGGAGTTTTCTTTATTAGTATACATGTGTCCTATTATTACATACACATTTGTGTCTTTGTACTGGCGCACTGACAAACAGTGTATCAATAAATAAATAAATTTTTGATCGCTAATATCTCTCTTCCCATGAAGTCTCTGCTTAGCTTTAGGTAACATTCAGGGCTCGGCAAGGTGGCTTATAAGCAAGCTGGATATCGTTTTTGGAACCAAAAGCAAAGAGGGTTTCGTTTTTCTGGCCGAAAACACAAAATTTGCGACGATTTTTTTTTGTTTTTTTTTGGTCGTTTCGTTTTTTGTAGATTTTTTAGGGCATTATGGTTTAGGGTCAAAGGGGACTTCGTAAAAATTCGCAAAAGTCAAGGATGACTTGGTTTTTTTTTGCATTTTCAACTAGCTACCTCGTGCCGAGCTCTGGTACCTTTCAGCAGAGCAGGCTTAGCAGATCTACAGTATGGAGCGAACCACCTTGTTCAATTACTGTGAAAACTTTGAAGAGGGTTTTGAGCCATCAATGGTCACATTCTGCCCCAAATGGGTACTCAACAGGTTGAAAACTGTAACATAGTTTGAATAGAGTCGTTGATTATGAATATGAAATTTGCCCTAATCGTAAAGCTTCTATTACACGTCATGCTAGATAAGCCGAAACATTTTTTCAGTGTTTTTTAAAAACGTGATTACACTGTCTAAATCGTTTGAAGATCGTAAAACGTTGTTCAAGAAAATAACATGCATTAAAACACTTTTGCACAACTTCGCAGATTTTTTCGAACTTTTTTTCAAAACGGCTTATTTCACAATGATGCTAGAAGTCCTACCTTAAATCTGCAATGAAAATTTGATGGTCCTCTTTAGGGCAGAGAGTTATCAACGAACAAGCAGTGCATACATACCTTCCGTAGAAAGGTACTCCGACCAAATTGTAAACGATGACCATGACTGCTACAGTGATCCTTCAACGTCGATTTGAATCTTTCTACACAACACAATTTAGCTCTCGTTGTCTTTAGATTTCGACTATATACTCAACCAGTATTAACAATGAATTTTGCTTCTCTAATCCTTGGAATTTCCTTAATAAGTCTGCTTGCAGATAAACTCCCCAAAACCTAGATTTTCAGCTTCCAAATTGGTACCTAGAAAACCACAGGAACATACAACTTGTTGTACATTAACGAAAGTTGTAATTATTGGCACCAGACGTAATCCCAGTCCTCATGTTTGCAATTTGCTGATAGAGCATGCTTTTTTTCTCTTGGTAAGATTGATTTGCGAAGTTATATTCTGAGTCAACGCTCTTGTTTATTTAAATGTCTCATACAGATCTTGTCTGTCACACAATTCTACTTGCTATGACCAAGTGTAGACATTCCGTCTATTTTCACTTTCCTGAAGTCCATTTGCCATACGTTTCTAAGCATTGCATTGGGTTGTAACCCCTCTTCTCATCACCAGATCAGTAACGTTGGTGTGGTGCTTGTGAGCTATTTTCTTACCTTTCAAGTGGGTATACGAATTTGTTGCATTGCACCATTTTTCCGCTACCTCAATCTTACTCTTCTAGATAATCACTACCTCAACACTTGAAAAAGGCAATTGTAACCAGGACTTAACTGGTTTCGCGGCACTTTCTGCACTGAAAACAGCAATTTTCCTCTTTAGATACTTGAGATGCATTCTGTCGTGATAGTTTAGAGACCAGAACCTCAAAAGCGATAGTCGTCTGGACCTTGATTCCTATAGAAAGTCACTTTGATTTTTCTTACCGTGAATTGCTATGATTTGGTAGAAATTCGTGTAAAAATAAAAATAATTTTCTTAGTGCACCCAATGGACTTTTTTACCTGTCCTGCCGGTTCCAGCTATGGTGAATTAGTTCGCGTTTTCCTCCATTTTTCGAGCAAAATTATCGCATGCATGCAGAAAAGTGGTTGAATTATAACAATAACCACATTTTGAACTGCATTTGGTGCGTTATCGGTAGCTCTGCTGCATTTGCGCTAGATAAATCATCGCAAACAAAGAAAAACTGATTGTGAGAATCTAATCCGCGACACAGACAAAGAAATGCCCATTGAATGATTGACACCGAAAGGCGAAAATATTTTTAAAAAATTTTCACAGGTTATTTGCTCATACATAACTAACGGCGACACTCGTATAAGTAGACTTGATTAATCTTAAGATAATCTGAGGTTGTCCGGGTCGCATTTGAAGAATCGCGAGAAGAGTAGCAGAGGAAATCACAAGAGACGGGAGGCAGCGTGCATTTAAATGGACACCCAGAGCAGCAGACCACAAAAACAGAGAATACGTGATTTTTGACCGTGTTGTTCACAGATTTTCGCGCATTGAGCCGCAAAATCATATGATGCATTCGTAAAGGGATGATGAAGAGCGCTATTGCTAGTCTTACTCGAAAACTGCTCTTTAACACATTGACGACAAGGCCGATTTCTCGATTACTGTCATTTCGGACAGGAGCCTTTTTTGCTCTGCCAAACTTACGACCCACCCGTGGGTCGTATTGTCCGAAATGGTAGCCTTTTTGGAAGAAATTCAAAACATGTCTCCGAGAATTTCCTCACAAGGGTTATCGAACGCGCTGATTAGCAAAATATGATTTATTTCAGCTTTGGAAGCAACACGGTAAGGGTTACGGTAGTCATTCTGTATGAACTCAACATCATGATTTTCATGCAAAATTGTTTTTGGGGTTATTTCACTTGCTGATCACAATTATAGTGTCCACTATGTTCACTACTTTCCCACATGAGACTAGGTAGCAGTACGGTAGAATTTTCGTAGAAATCAAGAAACTGATGTAATAAGGTGGTATCAAAGCTTGAGATTATCATTTTTGTAATTAGCATGCTAAACCTATATATGCAAAGTTCGAGCTTCCTAGGATGAAAATTGCAAAAAATCAATAAAATCAACAAAATCGATAATTTGGTGGGCTAACGTCAGCCTCTTGCCCGCCCCGTATTACTCTTACATGTAAACTTGATTCTCCAGAAACAGCATCATTTTGCGAAGAATTTGAGCTAAAAGCTTGTGCCTTATATATGTCAACCGTATATCTACCGTAACATTACATTACAGTATCCCGAGCCCGGACCACTCTGGCTGGAACTTCACTTAAGTGTCCTCAATCATGTATCAGAACCCCGTAGAATTCCGTCGTAAACTGGCAAAGATAGTGCTTCATGAATCTTACGACCCACCAGTGGGTCGTATTATCCGAAATGGCAGGACACGTACGACCCACCGGTGGGTCGTATTGTCGTCAGTGTGTTAAGGAAGCCGCATTTTCCAACGCTTTCTGCAAATTTCCAACTACTGAGCTTAATTAATGGCGCTGTCAGCTTTATGAGCTCTAGGTCAAGTTCAGCTCACGCTTATACAGGGAATTTCGTTGCCGTCTTTACAAATATTTTCGACAAATTTGCTTGACTAGCAAGAAACAACCTAGATAATGCAGAGTTGACTGAGCGATTCATCAAATTATGTTCTATCTTCTTCATCCACAGTCTCCAAAGTTTGAGTGCGGCTTTGTCCCAAGTAGTTCTTTGTCGTTGTTTCTAAATGTTGTTATGCTTTGGCAGCTGTCAGAATGGAGGCCAAACACAAATCACATTTAAATGGCTTGATCTAACTAAGGCAACTAAGGTATGATTTTTTTATTGTTTTTGCGACTTCTGAAGGGAGTGTTGCTTTCAACGAAAAAAATGAATAGTCTTTATTGCACCAGATGAATTTGAATAGAGAATCAGTCAAACAGAACACAGAGAAATCTCACTGCAATGGCAAGGAAAAAGCAAAGTTCACAAAGTAACTCATTAACAATATATAACAACATGTAAATGGACTGATCCCAATAAAACAATACGAAGTACTAGGGAACACAAAAAGTTGTCAGGTATCACAGGTTTCCTTGGAAATTTATTCGGATGAAGTTATAGAGAGAAATAAGGCTTGCATTACGGTAGGAATGCAGAGGGACGAAAATGCTCATAAAGCTTAGGCAGACGAGGCATATCAACCCCTACAAGGTACCTCGGTGTTTATTAATTCGTTCGCTGAATCAAATAAATGTTTGGAATTACGTTCCTTATTTACTGTTGAATATCTGACTGCTAAAGAAAAATTTTTAAAAGCAAGTTCCCGCTTTTTGATCTTTTCATTATATATGATGTATAGGCGAATCATCGCACGCAAAGACAGAGCGTCACTTAGGACGCTGTCTGAGTCTCGCAGATCACACGCTCTTTCATCGCTCTTGCCGTCTGCTGTCTCTCTTATGCACGAATTGTCCTAGTCGGAAGCAACGCGGTCCAGTCTGCGCGTGCGATGAATCGCATCCTCTAAATCAATGATAATTTAGGAAAAATTTATGATTTCCGTATTTTCGACTTCTTTCTACTTAAAAAGCATATAGTGTCCATTCTCTTTGTACCCTAATAAGCACCTTATACATGCACTTGAAGCAAAAATGCGCTTATTGTGGCAGTTGGCAGCAAAATGATAAAATTTGGCAGTAGGTTTCTATCAAGAAAGCTTACTTTCAGTAATTTGGGCCTACACCATCATGACTAGTATTTTGCATTAGAACATACCAAATAGTCTAAAAATATCGTCATTGATAATGATGTTCATAACAGGGTAAAATTATAATATAAATTCTCTTTTTCTCTAGAAACACGAAGTGCGCGGCTCGCAATGAAATGTCATTTTCGTGTGTGTGAGCTGGCAGCCGAATGATATCTACGCCCGTTTCGAGTTGTCCTGAACATGAGTGGTTGTGCGTGGGACCAGTGGTCCGTCCGCTAGAGCAGAGTCTCGTGCAACAACCGCTGAAGTGCTATACAGATGATGGCGAAGATGGTGGCGTGAAGACGAGCGGAGCTGTGATGCAGCTCTTCGAGCAGGAAGTCGACGACACCATCTCCTGACTTTGCCACCACCACATTCCTCAACGAGCGTTGACTGAAAGAGAATACGGTTAAATACGGTATATACAAGGTGGCGCTTATGATTCTCTTAAAAAGACACCGAACTCGGAATTCACCGAAATCTGCGTCGTCGCATTGCCATATCCTGGTTCAGAGTGGGTAAACTCTAGATTTCAAGCGTACCGCTTGACTCAGCTCAACGCTGCGTATCTTTCGATTAAAATATGGCACGTTGTATACGGTAGGCGGTCAGATTCCATTGATTTTTGCCTGTAGGTTACTCAGTGAGCAATGGAGCACGCTAACTGTTAGTAATTTACTGTAACCAAGACTCTAGAAGATCCGTAATCTGACCGGCCACCGTGCAAGTATCGTATCAAACGGACATATTTCTACATAGGAATACGTGCGTCGCCGAGCTGAGTCGAATGCTACTCTTGAATACAAAATTCGTCCACCAATCAGAATATGGCAATGCGACGCGAATTTCGGTAAACTCCGGTGAATTTCGGTGATTTCTTTGTGACAAATTATGAATGGTATTGTACGCGAACCAAATTATCGGAGTTGGTAAGAAGCAATTCTTCTGAAATTTTTCCCGAGCTAAGTTTTGGTCATCCCAAAGTTCGTCAAGAATGTCAATAGCCTGAGAGGCTTAGGGAAAATGTTCGATTATGTGCATGGGAACATTCGAAGTCAGTTTAAGAACTCGTTGTTGAATTGAGAGATGAGTTCCGAATTCTTGGAAGCATCTTGGGGTGCAAGAGATTTGATCCTCTCACTTTCACTTTCAGCTGGAGACACCAAAACATACTTGAGAAATGGGGTGTCCAGCTCTATGCGAACCACATCTCGTTTTCTTCTTTTGCTTTGTTTCTTACCACAACTTGTCGTCCACACATCGGCAACAACTCGCCAACCTTTGTCTGTCACTGAACATCATCGTTTTTCAGTTATTTCATTAACAGCTTTCCACACAATTCTTTACCTGCAAAAGCATAGCAATCAGATAGTGGCAGTTGTCCGACTGATTTGGTGTCGTAGTACGGTTGGATGTTGTCCTTATTTTCTATCGCTATTCGTCCGTCGTGTCCAATGAATACCTAATCTGACATTAAGTTACGCAAATTGGCTCACTAAAGTCCAGCTCACCTTGAGCACATCTTTGAGCTCTGGAGACTCGATTTCCACAACTTTGTCGAGCAAATAGATTACCAATCCCGTATTTTCGTCCACTTCCACCTCCCCCTTGACGGCTTTCGACAGGAAGTGCACCTATAATACCGTCAGATCTCTGTCACCAATCCAATTCCACTCAGCGCATGCTAATTGTAGGAGTTGTCCTTGAGCGCAAGCGTATCTACCTTACCTTTCCTTCAACTCGCTGCGAGCTGGGAAACAATGGAGGTGGTGTCTGCGAGAGCAGCAGAGCGGCCGGGTGCCCGAGGAACACGGCCCCGTTCTTGGATCGGACCACTGTCGACAGCACGTCCTGCGAGGTGGCGAACTCGACAGCGCGCCAGGATGAAAGCGAAAAACTCGGCTCTCCCTGAAGGCACACAATTTTGAAGCAGCCAAAGTTCTGCAACATCTTACAAAGGCCATAAATAATCGTGATATATCCGACGTCAATAATCAAGGAAGGCATGGCCAATGGGGTTACTCTAAGATAAAATCTAGCATTTAAGTCCGATTTCTTTCGAGAAAGTTTCACTAACAGATGGTTCGTTTACAAATAATTTCTTATTCAAAGAAAAAAGCTGTAAAGAATCTTATCTGCAGGCCGATCATCTGTAGGGCCGATTTAAAGGCAGTGGATCAGCAGAATGGACTCTCCTCGGATTTTGGTGGTTAGTAGTAGACTCCCCAAGTACACTGTAGCCCAAACCCCATTTGCCATTTCATGCGCTAAGTCCTGAAAAATGCGCTTCAAACTTCACCAGCCCCGCCCCTTTCCATTGAGTGGGCGGGGCTGGTGGAGTTTTGAAGCGCATTTTTCAGGACTCAGCGCATGAATTGGCAGATGGAGTTTGGGCTACAGTGTATTTCCTGGGGTCTACTACCTAAATTCACCAAAATCCGAGGAGGGTCTATTCTGCTGATCCACTGCCTTTAACAGATGGTTTGCATGCAAATTTTAAGGTATGCATCTAAAAGCTGGCACATACAGCGATTTTTAGACCCGATAAGTCCGTCTTCAGTCAAGCTCAACCTACAGATAAGTCTTTTTCCCCATAGTAACTATCTTATTAGGAAAGTCCAAAGCGCCCTTAACTGTATCGGACTAATCTTTTGCCGAATTTATCTGTGGGAGACCCTATCGACCAAATTTTGAGTAATTTTAATCTGCGTGATGTGCAACAACTGGCAAAGCTTTGCTCAAAAAAAAACTGTCAGTGTGCAACAACTGGCAAAGCTTTGCTCAAAAAAAACTGTCAGTATCCCAGATAAACGGCAAGAAATATTTTCTCTCTGACTTGGGTAGTTTTGATAATAATATGCCACTTCCACTACATCCATTAATATTTACAAGGGACGAATTCAGCCCACCTGCGCCTCACTTGGATGGTTTGGTATTTGTTGGATGATTTCCCTATGATGCGGCTCCAAATCGTAGAGCACTCGATTTTTTGTGGCTATTCGACGAATTTCCGCAACGGAAGCCCAGTCAACCACCTAAAAATTTTTTTTGCAGAAACGTTCCATTGAATGAACCGCATGCATCGAATGCAAATGCACCTCATCATCTGAGTCGCTCCAAATCAGAAGAGAGATTGCTTTATCCATTCCTAGTAGCCAAAGGAGCTGCTCTTTTGAGTTTGCTGCCTGAAAATTTACAGCTAGATCTAATAAACAAAGAGTTTTTCAAAATGGAAATGTTTTTTTTTTCAACTAGGCACTTGCCACTGATAATCGGACCGACAGCATAACTGGCTGCTCTAGTCGAGCGATGTATTCGAGAATGTGGAACAACTGCCTCCAAGTCAGTCTGAAAAAGCACGTGAAATAGTGAGAAAAGTATACTAAAATATGTTTTCCATATAAACCGAGCAAAGCAAATCACAAACACTTTATGCTTCGGATTGAGCATCGAAAAATTCGATTGTTTTGTCCATCCTAACGACAACGTCGCATCCGGAAAAAGCCGTCGAGCCCTTTCGACAAATGATGACGGATCGACGATATTCTGCAACAAGCAGCACTCACTATGAAACTTCAGAAAACTCAAGCAGTGTCCGCTAAGCCAATGGATTCACCTCAACGCTTCGTGGCGAACGAAAAACGTTTGCATGAAGAATGACCGGATATTTTAGTTCGGGTGCTAATGGATCAGCTTGTGTCGCGTACAGATACTGTAGCACCGGTCGAACCACTTCCGTTGATCGGAAGTTGATTTTGATTGCTAAAAGAATTTTGCATTGTAGAAAATAAGCATTTGCGAAGGGAGTAAATCTGTTCATGTTGTGGAAGATGCTCATTCCGATAACACTTCCCTCATAAGATGGATAGTGCAAATTTTAAAACGAAAGAGCTCATTTGAAAGGTCTAAAAAGGACGATTCAACTGAGATCAAGAAACGAAAAGTCCTTCAAGTCTGGAGCCGCAATGTCAAAATTAGTCTATACCTCGTAGGCGTAAACCGAAGATTGTCAAAATGAATTCTTATTTTTAAATTGATCTCATTGAAGCTCCATAACATAATCTGAGACGTGAAATATGTGAGAAAGAACCGTAAAATCAACGTAGCCCTACCGTACAACGCCAGGGGACAAAACATAGCTATCAGCACCTCAAAAAAAAGTTTGGACAAGTTCTACATGTATCACAGTGGCGGAACAACGGGACCCACCTCCTTCTCCCATCCCCTCCTCAGAATGGGTCGCGAAATTTTTTAAGGCAGCCCAATTCAATTATAGAATTGCGCGAGTGACCTTTCACTAGGAATTATAGATGGAGTTTTAAGCAGCATTACAAAGTTTTCCGGAGAGCTTCGTTAAGCCGCTCACAAAATTTTTTTCATCGCGCTCCTTCTCCCCCCTTCCGCCTCCCCCCCCCCCCCCCAAAAAAAAAGGAAATTTTCTTTAACCGGCACTGTGTACCGTGATTTTTCCAAAAACACTACCATTTCATGCACATTCCAAATTTGGCTCATGATGACAATTATGCAAAACATGTGGTGCTCAAAGAAGACGAACGCGGGGAAACAAAAAGCGCTTAAACTTAATTTTCAAATTTAGAATCGAAGTTTTGAATCTGGAATTTCTCCGAGCGCCCTTTAGCAAATTAGATCTCCCTCATGACCACGACATTCCTACGGTGTGATCGGTTATCGATGGCATGCTGTATTTGCAGAGACGAATAGTCGTGTGAGGGATAAGGTAATCCATCATTTCTTTTGCGGAGGCAAACAGTAGATGTAGTGGGGGAGTTGACACATCTATGTCATTACACACTCCCTGCGGTTCAGAAGATTGATGACGGGAACGTGTGGTCACACAGCGACCAGCAGCCCGAGTGATCAGTGCAAACAAACCAACGAACCTTTTTTGAGGTTGGCCACCTCACGGAGCCATTCTTTAAAGGTGATTCGATCAGCTGTTCTTGCGTCGGCTCGCATCACCGGTATAGCACGGTGCCGGGGACGTCTGGCCGTTTGCAGGAACACATCGCCTTCGATCAGCATCGACTTGTTTAGGAACGGCTCTGCAATGGTTCAAGTAATAGCCTTGTTTTCCTAACAAACAAAACATCTAAGCAGGAAAGGAACCAAAGTCAAAATGGCCAGATAGGATGAGCTTTATACCATCGCAATGAGTATGAGACGCTGATCTCAAAACTGTGCTCACTATCTGCTAAACGTTTCCGTGAAAGTCGTTTTGAGCGCAGGCATGTCAAGTCTCCTTGGCCAATTGTAAAGTGTGCACCAACGTGCTCGAATAGTGTAGTGGATACACGCGAAACGTGTAGCGCAGACGATCGAAGGTTCGATTCCTATTTCGCTCCAGCCTTTTGCTAGCTTACCAGATGTCTCCTTTGCTCAAAACTGCTGTTCATGCACCTCTACATACTTAAGGCATCCTTTCTATTACAGAATCGAGTTTCTTCGAAACTTTTTCTGCGGTTAATGGTCGATCATGTCCTGTCAAAAGTCATAAACATCTTCAAATTTTTGGATTTTGTTAGATTTTGTCATATTTTCTTTTATTCACTTACTAGTTATATTAGAGTCTCATAGTTGCTCCCGATCCCTACCCTGAGACCGGCTTTTCCTCGTCCCTCGACTCTCTTCCCCAGAAAGAGCTGCATTGCCTAACACTAATGATGGGGTGCATCGGTACAAGCAGAATCTTGTGCGCAGCGAGAACGCACAATTAACGCGGATCGCTTCAAAGGCACATAGCCGCTGTTTTTACGGTAATTGCTATTTAATGCCGTAACGATGTCGTACGGTACGCAGCTCGAACAGAAAACTGTTAATCAAAGCTACCAGTTTTTATCTGCGCTCTGATGAAATAAAGTGCAACGGCACCGTCGCGCATTATATGATGTTTACATTACTATGAAAAGAAAAAGAGATTTCGAGTTTTTGAGTTGAAAACTAGTTCAAGGCAAATCTTTTGCAGTCAACTTTGAAATCATAAAATAACTTTTGAATATGTAACTAAGTTTGTATTTTCACATACCTACAATTTTTGTTAGTATCTCAATCACACCTTTTCATGTGCAATCAACTATAGCTTGTCGTATGCAAAAAAATTTGGTTAGTTGCAGCTATCTATAAGAAGTTCCGAAAGCAGAATCAAAATAACTAGCACAGCTGTGGTGGTTCAGAAAACTGAGACGTGGTGACATCCATACCAACAATTTTTTTACTTGGTTTATTTGGGAATTTTCAAAATTTTCAAAAATTACTTTAATCAATCACAAGTAAAAGTAGCTCGCACTTTCACAGCTTTATTAGTAACAATCAAAATTTCGCGTGTTCATGTTTGCTAGCTTCACCACTCATTAAAATTCAACGAAAAATCGAATTACGAGTCACACGCCTTTGAAATAACATAGTCTATAAACCCGTCATACAAGCTCGGAGTACATTTCATAAATTTCCAACTGTTTTAACGTCTTTTGCAAGAAATGGCAATGATTTGACTGTGTAAGATCTTCTTATGATCGAAGTTTGAGGCGTGACTCAAGAAGTAACTAATGGGTGCAGGTTTCAGAATTCTCTAGACTATGATCACACTAGTTCCTTTGTCTGTCTCAAATGAAGAACTTCGGCTAAATACCAAGTACAGAGTACTTAAGGACCTGTTACACTTATTTTGCGCTATCGGTGAGGTATGACTCACAGCACAAGCACTTACCATGCAACTGATCGACTAGGTCAGGCCAACTGTTGACTCCATGAGCTACTCGAATGTTGAAGCCATCACCCAAAGTTTCGTTCTTCCAGAAATCCACCACAGACATTCTAGTAGCTCGCATCTCCCGCCCGGTATTGGCTGAAAAATTTCAGAATTATAACAATTACAGATTCGCCTTTTAGAAGGCGCTGTAATATCTTTTTGTGACGTATTATACTCCTATCCTATCAAATTCAATGAATATTTAAAACGTGAAGATTATCAATTTCTCAAGCATTCCTGATGATCATTTGATATCAACAGTGCACATTTTTATACTAGACTTATTGTTAACCTCAATTTGTGAAATTACCCACCATGCGCAGCACTCTATGAACATTACTAACGAACAAAATCCGATTGATGAACATTTTGTGAAAAGGACCACCCGCACTCGCTTACGCCTATTTAAGCTCAAAAAGGAATCAACAGAAAATTCCGCAGAACTGGCTACTTCAAGCAAAGAAGTCGTGCAATACCGCACATGATGTTGCGTAGGCGCACGTCTGTTACAAACATTTGGACAGGGCTTTTGTAATCGTATTTTCAACTCTATGCGCTGCTTTTCATAGCAGCATAGTTCTCGGTAGCTTGCCCTGCAACTGTATCCTTTATTTGTTTATGTTTATGCATCCGTGTCCGTCCGCCAAGCAATCTCACGCCGAAAGCAATCATGCTCAAGACAGCTTTGCAACAGTTTGCGCGAGCAAAGTGCGGGCTAATTGGCGGATAAAGACGTGAAATCTGTGTCTAATTGAGTTTAGTCGACCGCTCAGCAGCGGTGGGCATCAGCCTCAAAGCAACCCCGGGGTGCAGATCCGCGCAAGAAATCTAATTGCCGGCGATTGTCTTTGGCAGACGCTGCCCGCGGCCGGGATTATCGCGACAGCTGAGGGCAGCCAACCGTTCCCAGTGTCGTCATAACCGGATAAGGAGAAGCCCCTTCGCTTTCGCTTGATCTTTGACAAAAAATCGCATGCGCTTGTCGTACACAGTGCGACGCAATTAACAACTTTATGGTGAACGGCAAGGAGGCGTGGCGGTCGTAAACAGATCAGGTTACACCGTTACAGGAATCATATCAAAAAGTTCATCTACGAAGAAAACCCTGAGAAATATGAGTTACGGAATTCTGGGAAATGAGAAAAAGATTACCTAGAAGTTTTGGAACTTAAATCGCGACAAAGTTGGTATTCTCTTTATTGATAGATTTGCACCACAAATATGGAAAACTCGTTTAAGATTGCCTAAGAAGTCAGTGAACTCAATTTTTTTGTCGTATAACTATATGCAAAATTACACTGGACAAAAAGGAGAAAATAAAACACAAAATGGGATTTTACTTTTCGGAAAGAATGCGTCATGAAAGAAAAACAAAGAACAAAGGACTAAAATTCGTCGGATTTTTTGGCATTTAAAGCACATTTGACGCGATTGAGTGTATTCTGTGAGTTTCTGTTCATCAGCATCTGTAAAAAGAACATTTTCTCTTTCAGCGCTGTTAGAAAATAGACGGAAAGGTCCCCCTTTGACCACATGAAATTCGGCTAATTGTGAAAACTTCTGCGAAAGTTTGACAGCGCTATTGTTTTGCGGAAGTTTCAATTAACCGTTCGAGATGATGTTTTAACAACATCAAGTTTCGTTGCTTATAAATAATCTCTTCCCAAAATCGACCAACTATGACAACTTTGCAATCAGCACTTCTGTTTTTTTACATAATATCAGCCATTCCTGCGGCTGTTTGAGCCTTGCAAGTAAGCTCAGTTTTCAAACTCTCGCTGAACATTTTATTGTAACTATTTTGAACAATTTAGGTTCGATTTTTAAGCACAAAACACACCCGAAAATCGTAGATACAAGGGTTATGTTTACTCCATTTACTAGTTTTAACTTATAAAACTATCATACGGCTGCTTCCTTTTCCTTTTCACGATGTTCAACGCGAAGCAGTAGCAAACTCCACATCGGATCTCTTTCACACTACATACATGAATAGAAAAATTATGTATAAATACCTTGTCACCCCACGCTTACTCAAAAACTCGCTTATCTACTCCATTTGCAAGCGGATTGATGGCGTGCGGCTATGTGTGTTTATGGCATTTTGGACCGACCTTTGTTCGGCTAATTGGATTGGAGATGCATTTCCCAAAATTGTTTTTTGGGTTCATGATTTGATTAGACAGCTTTTTGCGCGATTGAGTGTACAGTGCGTGGTCGATGAATCTTTGGACTCGAGTCATTTCTGCTAGGTTCATAGAGTAAGCGTAAGTCGTATTTCAGAACAGGTAAGATTTGTGCTGGACTGATTGGGCTCGATTTGGAGAGCAAAAAGCGATAAGGAGTGAGATACTTTTGTGGCCTTGGGTTGCGAGCGTACCTAACGAACACCCATGGCCCGTGCCAGGCTAAGAACTATGATTTGCATACGTTGGCTTAGATTACCGCTGAACTTTAAACTTTGAGGGCTTTGACATTTGTTTAGCTAGGTTATAATGAATAAAACTATGGCTCAAAAATTAAGCATACTTACCGAAAACCGCAACAGGTATGAGATGAAATATGAAGTATAGTCGCAACATCACGTGTACGTCAAAATTCTGCACATTTCTGCGCTTTGCCTGAAAACACCACATCGAAAATGAATTTCAGAAAAAAGCAAGCTCAAAAAAGTTGATCGTAGCGATTCGCAACAAGTGAGAGACTGGCGGTGACGGGGGCTTTGAGATGGGGCTTCTTCACGTACGGGGCTCAAACTAATACTAGCCGAGCGAGGCTATAACACGGCTCCTCCGAAGTCTTTCCCCCCAGCTAATGTGGCAATCACAACTTCGTTGCAACTATTCTCGTAGGACAACTGGATCAGCGCTTGAGACACTAGTTCCGGGGCGAAAAAATAAGTGGGAAGCAACGGGGAGCAAGTGCGATGAGCAGAGTTTGTTGGAAACGATGCGGCATCTTTCGGATAAACTAGCTTTACACAAAAAGTTCTGGTTTTTCCTTCGGTTGTGTGAGTACGCTCACACGTTTCGGTTCACAGCTGAAAAAGACGATTATTTGCACTTTCTGCATGAAATTTTAATAACATTAACGATAGTTCAAGGATGCACATTGCATCCAATATTATTATTCTACTGGAAAGGGGGGGGGGGGAGGGGAGGGAGCTTGAATATTTGTTTTCGATAATGAGTAAGGTATTTTGCAAAGGCTAGGGCAGAAAATTTTGTAAAACATTAGGCATTACATAAGTTTTGTCACACTTGGAGGAATAAATATACAGCTTCATCAAGAGACTTTATCTCATTTTTAAATTATTTGGAATATTGCTGTTTTTTGATATTACATGCCACACATGATCAACACAATTATTTGAATTTTTGAAATTTTTCCTAGTTTTTTGGAAAATTTTCAACTTATGTTACAGGAAGCTTGAATTTCATTACTTCCTCGTATTATCAGTGATGCTCTTGAAAGTCCATAAAAATATGAAAATATGGAAAAAAAAGAGCTTTTACGAGATAGAGAAAAATGAAGGTTAAAGCGCAGTCAGAAGAATCACATTTCTGTTCATCGTAACTTGTTTCACGAAGGCGAATGTCAACGGATAATCCTTTAAGCCATGCCCATAAATGTCAAATATTTTGGGAAATTTTCCAGAGTTCTCCAGAGGAAAACGAAGAAGGTGTGACAAAGATTATGTAACAGCCTAATGTAGTGTAAATGGACCTGCGGATAGAGTACCAAGAAAATAGAATCATTCTTTCTAACAATGGTAATGGAGTGGAAATGGTTTCCATTGCAATTTCCTCAAAAATGGTTTACATACAAAATTTTCATATGTGAATGACTATCAGCAAGACAATGCAAGAAGCCATGGGTTCTCCACAGAAATGCCCCTCAAAAAAGGCCTTATATACATTCTACCTAGCATTTTTTCCAACAAAACGATTGAAAAGTATCTATAGGTCGCACGCTTCGAAGCCACCCCACGTAGATTAGCAGCGTAAGCCGAAAAACTGGTTACTACAATCATCTCTGTGGGATTGGCAAACCTCAGCTAGAATACATGTCAGGAGATCGGCTTAGAATGGGAAACTTATGAGCTTTCTAATATTGCTTAAAGCAAAAATCCGTATTAGACATCACGCTGAAAAACATGCTGATCTAAATATCACTGAGATCGTGATTTTTGATTTTACAACCTCTGAAATGCTAAAAGACCTAAAAAATTTGATTTTTCATAAGTTATGGTTTACGATTCACTCTTTTTTTTTGCGAAAAAAGTGAATGGATATTTTATATAGTAGTTAGAAACCTAGCACCAAAATGCTCTTTTAGAGTCTAATTAGTCCACATCATAGATTAGAGAACTTCAGAAAGCTGTTTTGGGACGAGATGCAAGAGCCGGCTTTTGGTGGGAATTATCCTTTTTCGGCTGAGACCTCATTGCATACACAAATCAGCACGTCCATGGCTTCAGGCTCAAAGTGCACGAACTGCACACGAGGAGTACGAGATGTTTTGCGAGTACGAGTTCTCGAGGGACCCGCTGGCAATGAGCGCCGAAAAATCATAAATAATCTCAAAATGTGAGATAAACGTGAAGCGCTAGAGTGGGTGACGCAACCAGTGGCCAGCACGGATTTATGACGAATGACTATGTCCTCCCGGAGGACGGGGGCGACGACGGGCAATGTGATCATGACAGCACATAAATGGACACTGTAAGTGAGTGACTTTACTATTCGCAAGATCGTAATGTAGATCAATCAATAGGACAGACTTTGTGTGCAGATGAGTCACGATTTACTGATTGAAAATGGTAAAAAGCCGAGGAGGTAAAAAAGTGGAACTAGTCGCTGAAGAGAGAGTTCTAGGTGCGAGTTGCAAAGGCACTGAGGCGGATAATGCGATGAAAAGCATACCAGAAATGTATTGAAGAACTTATAATCATGGAATTAGGCAAGTCGTCAAACAGGAGAGAGCCATGGAAGTATCTTCTAGGGAATTTTTCTCAGACAGTTAGTGAGAACCATCAAAAAGGGGAATAGACCTGGACAACAAGATTGGGTGGTCTCCTAAATTTACGAATAGAAATTGACTTGGAACAATTCGAAGTGATGAGATTACCGCCGCAAGATTGGGAACTGAAAGAAGAAACACGGATGTTTGAGACTCCCGAAGCTGGTTATCATGTCACTTTCATTAGAGATGTACTTTTGAAGTAAAGAAACTGGAGTAATGTAGCACAGGAACATTACTATCATTTTGTAAATGACAGTAAGGGCTAAAGAGATTAGTTTGAGAAATAGTCACTATGTTCCAACTTTCTTTGGAGTAAGCACCAAAAAATTATGTATTTTATTTTTTTGCTATGAATAACCCAATCGAATTTATTTTGGATTTTTTTTTTGCACTTTTCCGTTCATATGTGCCCATCTTATAAAGTGATCCACTTTTTGGAAAGCGCCAGAATCCACATGTTCAGGTCAATCTCCCCAATAAGTATTATTTCTGGCAACTCTTTGTTATTGACGATCACCACCGAAGTGCCAACCACAGGGAAAGTGCACGCTAATTTACGACAAGAACTTTTCCTATAGTTCTTACTACAACCATGTTACCGTCATGATTTCAATCGGGTTTCCTATCGCTTTTCCTCTAAAAAATTGTCTTGAGTAGCTTGAAAAAGTAGCTTACATTGAATGACCAAGTAGATCATGAAAGTCCCCGCTCGACCATGCAACAAAATTAGCTTTGGAGTTTTTTGCTATCAGAATTTACGATCTCTCTCCCCCCTCCCCCACCTTATCCCGAGTGGTAGGCGTCGTGTAATCTCTTGTAATAATGTGTGCGTGTAGCGTGTACCGACACCAAGAGGGCAAGGTCCCGGTGGGTAATAAACTTATCAAGGACGTGCGTTAATGCCCCGATCTGAAATATATGACGAGTAGCAAAGAAACGCCTCCGCGATGGGATTCCCTCGAAAACAAGGCAAAAAACAAAAAGCGTTCAGCCCCGTCAACTATGGCCAATTCTTCTTCTAGGCGTACATGCATACAGGTCAATTAGCCAATTAATAGCCGGTTGCACCCGTGGGTTACGCCATAAATCAACGAACAATTATAACATTTGAGTCGGAGTGCAGGAGAATTTCTGGAATGGCACTGAATGGCATGCCGCTGCTTTCCTCATTATACAGGAAGTAACCCAATCACGGTTTCTATGGTTTTTCTCAAAAACATACAGGAGCTGGCAGCAAAAGCAGCTCTCTTGCACGGTCAAGTGCTTTGATGGGTGCAGTGAGGCAGGTATAATCGCAGGATCACGATAAACATGGAAAAATAAACAGGAATATGATATACTTGTAATCTGAGTCGCAGAGACAACAAAGCTCTTGTGATAGAGACTCGTTCTGGATAGAAAAAAACATTATCACGATTTGCTTCTGAGGACAGATGTGGAAAGATGTGGGCAAAATAATTTTGTAATTTTGGGTTGTTACTCAGCGAAGTCTCATGTTTGGCAAATATTTGATAAGGATGAAGGGCCATTCGTATTATTCTCGCCCTTACGAACACGAATTATAGTAAACTCGAACGCAATCCTTTGAAGGTCTTCAGTCTCCCTTTTTTCATTCTTCTTGGCTTTTCATATTATTATGGACTTCCGGGAGCTTTAGTAATAATAAGGAAGTTCGGAAGTTTAAGCTCTTCAAAATTGCAAGTCGAAAAGCTATTGAAAATTATTTGATAAAAATTCAAAAAATTCAAAATTGTAGCTTTTATATTTAAGATTACTATACCGGATATCCGCAATATTGCACATAACTCAGAAATGCGGGAAAATTCTTCTGAGATAGTTATGAATTTTTTGAGAAATTTTTTTTCCATTTAGTGTAACAAAACTTATGTAACAACCCAAATCTAACGAAAAAAGTTAGCAGCACAGCCGATATATGAACAAACCACAGTAAATAGAGCGAGATAAGTTGGAGCAATGTGAATTCCCATAATGGGTGTCAAATTACGAAGATAGAATAAATGCCGAAGTGAAATGCTCACTCTGCAAACACACTATTCTCCTAAAAAGAACGTAGAAATCTTTCTCTTATATGCCATTCTGGAGTTTCTGTGGAGCTGAAAGCAGTTTAAGCAACGACAAGATGTTGATTGTAACGAAATTGCGGGCAATTGAACAAACGCAGAAATCTAACAGGCTCTCTTGAAAAGATTCAAAAGAGAGTCAGTTTTTCTGGATATTTTTTCTGTGCTAGGCACTTCGCTGGCGGCACCCAGCAATTATCGAAGTACATTCTTTGCATAATCTCTTCAGCAGCAAACACGGCCTGAAAAGAAATGTTGGCGTTTTTCCACGATGTCGATTTGGCGAGGAAAGGAAATTTACTGGGCGCAATTGCCAAGTGTGTTTTTGTCTTATTCGCACATGGTGGAACTTTGTCTGCACTGATATTCCAAAATCTCTTCATTGCTCTTCAACTTGACTGCTTTTACGAATGTTATGTCTTTATAACGCAGCTGACCTGATTATGGCCAATAAACTCCGAAATAAAATAAGAACAATAAACGCTGGAGAAAACGAATTAAAATAACGAAGCTAAGG